AGAGGGCACAGGCCGGGCTGGGGGACCCCCCTCCCCCCGCCCCCCGAGTGCACAAATTTTTGTGCACCGGGCCTCTAGTATATAAATAAAAAGACAAACCAATTAAAAATTGGGCAAGGAATTTGAATAGACATTTCTTCAAAGAAAGAAAACATGTCTAGTAAGAAAATGAAAAGAAGCTTAACATCATAACTTTTTAGAGAAATATAAATTAAACCCACAATAAGACACAACTTAATCACTAGATTGGCTGTATTTAAAAAGATAATAAAAGTTAGCAAGGATGTGGAGGAATTGGAAACCTCAAACATTGCTAGTGGGAATGTAAAATGGTGCAGCTGCTGTGGAAAACAATTTCTCAAAAAGTTAGACATGTAGTTACCATGTGAACCAGCAGTTCCTAAGTATGTACCCAACAGAAATGATTTGTACAGGAATATCCATAGCAGCATTATTCATAACAGCCCAATACTGGAAACAACCCAAATGTCCACCAACTGATAAATGAATAAACAAAGATGGTATATCCATACAATGGAATATTATTCAGCCTTAAAAAGGGATGAAGTACTGATACAAGCTACAACATGAATGAACCTTGAAAATATTGTACTATGTGAAAGAATCCAGTCACAAAAGGCCACATATTGTATGGCTGTTATGTGAAATGTCTAGATTAGTGGCTGCCAGGGGAGGGAGGAATTGGGAGGAATGGGTTTCTTTTTTGGGTAATAAAAATGTTCTAGAATTAGTGGTCATAGTTGTGCAACTTTATGAATACTAAACCACTGAATTGTTCACATTAAAAGGGAAAATTTTGCATATGGTATGTGAATTATAGCTCAATTTTCTAAAAAATAGATCTTTGTGTCCTCACATATTCTATGGCTAGAAAGCTGCTTCACCTTCTATATAAAATTGTTTTCAGTTACCAGAACATGACAGATACATATTAAAAGTTACAATAAAGACCTGAGTGTTTTTTGCCGAAACTATTATTCTGGAACTGACAAAAAATAGTGCATGCAATAGATAACTTCTGTATCACATTTCTTCAAAATCTTATTAAAATATCTATTTCTCAATATATTATTGCCAAAAAATTTTTTGGTTGAACTATAAATCTGTCTTGAATGTATTTTAAGCCCTAGCTGGGTAGCTCAGTTGGTTAGAGTATCATCCCAATACACCAAGGTTGCAGGTTCCATCCCTGGCCAGGGCACACATAAGAATCAACCAATGAATGCATAAATAAGTGGGACAACAAATTGATGTATCTCTCTCTCTCAAATTTAAAAAAATTTAAAAGAAATATATTTTACAATATTGAAATAAAAATGGTATTTTTGTTAGTTTTTATAATAATAGCTTTATATTTAATTTCAAAAGACCCTATTTATTAGTGCTCAAAGATACAGTTTAAAAATTAGACATTTTTGGATTTGTTGCTTAGCATTAACTGGTATTCTTTTAGAATTAAATATTATTGTACTGGAATTTATAACAAGATAAATACTGGATAGGTTAAGATAAGGCAAGAGGATGTCTTTTGGGAGCAGGACATACAATGCAAATTCAAAACTTCTGGAAAATATAAAAAATATCTGCTTTACCACAAACTAAAATTTCCCAAATATTTTTCTTTGAATTATTTAAAATGGCAAGACACATATTTTGCTTTTAAAATCTTTAACTTTATTGATATATAAATAACTTTGTAATGCTCAAGTTTCCTATTTTCTAAGATACCAAGTCATCCCTCTTAAAGTTTTCCTTCTTTAACTCCTTGAAACTAAACACATTCAGTTATTTGATTAGTTGATGCTAGAATTTGACCTAGAGCTTATGTAATTAGAAGAGACACTAGTTTTAGCTCATTTAAAAGCCTAGCTAGCATATGACAGTCTCCTTTCCGGGAAGTCAAGCCTCTCCACTGCTTCTTTTTATAACCTTTAAGTTAATTCAGAATCCAGATAAGCCTTGATCCAAGGATGATATAACCACAGCAAGCACCATGGGGTAAGTGTGCTTTTATGTGCTTTGAGAGGCATTGAGATGGGAAACAGTATCATAAGAGAAGAAATTCCATCAATCCTTAGTAATTTTGATTCAAAATATGCTGACATTAAGAATAAAATTTAAAAATAAGTAACTTTTTATTCAAAAGTTATAACAATTTATAAAACATTCATTTTCTTGCTAAGTTGTAAAATTGTCATAATCTGCCTTTGTAGCTTATCAATGAATGATATGTTTGGGGACTGAAGAGTTTTACATATTTACATATTTACATATTTAATGGAAGCTGAGTTAAATTTTGAGAGCAATCTTAAAGAATGACAGGGTTCTTTCATTGAAAAATAGTTATAATTTTAAAAATTTTATATTTTATGTACTGATTATATTTTTGAAATGTAATTCTATGTCTATTGAATCTAATAAAAATCAGGATTAAAAAAAAAGAATGACAGGGTTGTTGATTTACACAGCAAATAAATCCAACATTTCTTTGGGATTAAGAATAAAAAATGAAAAGATTAGGAATGAAGGGAGGTTGGTTTGTGCCTTTTGTAACACAGAAAGGGGTAAAGGAGTTCACTCCTCTATATACATAAAAATGTGTACTGATTAATTACACAGAGACATTAGTGAATCTTAATTCTAAACCCTTTGCAGGGTTTTGGGAGCATGATGAGAAGAATTGGGTTTCACTTGAAAGGTTTCTATTCTTAAGTGAGAAAAGTATTCCATAATAGTATAGGAATTATATGGGTTTTATATGCTAAAACAATAGTATTCTGAAAATATAGAAATTTATTTTTTATCACCCTTTTGTCTTTGTTAATAGCTCCTTTGAATACAAGATTATATTGCTGCAAATGACATAGCCATCTCATTGAAGGCACTTCTGTAGGGTTTACCATAAATGAACAAATTTATACTAGAGAAATAACTTTTTGTCATGTTTATTCTAAAGTCTCCATGAATATAATTAACATCTACATCTTTGTCAATACCCTGGGTTCTGAAAATGCAATTTGAACCAGTCTGAAACCTCAGAGGCTTTTGAAAGGAAGATGGTCAAAATATTGTTAACTTAAATACAAATATAAAGGTTAACAGATAAGTGCCTTGTACAAATTTCAGATACATTTGTTTCTCCCTCTCCCTCCCTTCTTTTTCTTTAATGGCAGTAGTTCTTAACCTTTTTGGGAGTCAAGTATAATTTTAAGAATCTTTGAATACCGGCCCACCTCCTCTGCAAATCACACAAAATTTTCCATACAAATTACACAAAATTTCCCATGCAATTTCAGCATGTTTACAGATGGTCTGAATCCAATCTATGGGCCCCAGTTAAGAACCTTTGATTTTGAGTTTTAAGACTGGAGTATGAGTTGCTAAATATTTTTCGTAGTTTCTGTATTTTTATAAAATGTAAAAATGTTTAGGTTAATAATTTCTCTCAGGGACAATGTTGAAGATGCTGATTCTCACACTGATCACCTCTCAGTACACACACACACACACACAGACACACACACACACACACACACACTTTACATGAGAACGAAACACAATTACAAATATCCATAGTTTTGACGATCACATTACTGCTGCTTGTCCCCAATGATTTGATTAATCGTTTGTGCTTTCAAGAGTGCCAGGAATCACCTTGGGAGTAATGAAAGGAAAAACCCCACATTGTTTTATTGTAAGCTCCCTTCAATGCTCCAAACAAGGTGAACTAACCATAAATCGGTAGATATTACACAGGACACTCTTCTAATTGGTAGGTTCGTGATTGTTTTGTTGTCTGCTCCTGCCCTTATTGAGAAAAGAGGTTAGTAAGTATTAACACCCACTTAAGTTTTCCTAAAATAATTAGAAAAATAAAAAGAAAGTAGCAGCTGATCAGATGTTCAAGTTTGTCTATTTGAGGAAATCTCTAGAATAATCCCCAGAAAATGAGAAAATAGCTGTTTGAGATTTTTGGGGGGAGGTGCTTGGGGGTACTTATCTCAAAGCTATTTGACAATACAGTGCCTTTATATGGGTCTATGCCAGCTCTTTTTATTTTTCTTCAGGCGATGCTGGCACGGTTTTAGTGAGCAACAAGAGGCAAACATTAGAAAATTCTTATGCACTCTAGAAAGCCTCCTCCATCTCTTAAATTTTCACTGGATTTCTATGGGTGTGTAGGTGTGTGGAGTGAGTAGGAATATGAATAAGGGTGGGTAAAGGGATAACTGGAGAAAAGCAGAAGAACCTTACTTGTAAGCTACCCAGATACCTGCTATTTACCATAACACCTGGGCAAAGGATGCACAATGGGAAAGAAGGGATGGATGCATTTCTTTGCTGAGATACATTTCAATCCTCTTTCCCCATCTAGCAGTTACTCAGTACACTCCGGATTGACATCTGGGGGGGGGGCGGGGGGGGGGGTTAAGGCTCTGCTAAAATTGTAGAAGTTCATGGTTACAGCATGTTCAGCCTTCTTTTAGTTTCCCAGTTCAAATAACGTAGAAGGATTTTAAAAGTTCTTTAACAGATATATTCTCCACTTCTGAATCTGAGAATGACAACTCTTTCTTGGGCAGAGCAGATACATAACTCATGCAGTAGCCTTTGAAATGTTGCTTCTATCTGTGCCTTCCTTTCCTTCCTAATGGTTGCTTCCTTAATTCAGGTCATGGTTACCTTTTACTTAGATTATTAAAGGTGCCCACTCCCTGGCCTCTTTGCGGCTGGTCTTTCTTCTAAAGTGCCACAAGAGGCAGCTTCTTACTGAAGACATGTGATCTAGTTACTTACTCCCTTGCTTAAAAACCACCAGTGACTCCTTCATCTCCCCACTGCAGAGCAGCCCCCGAAGAAGATATTCATGGCCCCAACCTCCCTGTCTAGCCTTACCTCCTACTCTACCCTCGATGCTCCTAGGATCCCTAAATAATGCCTTGTAATTTCCTACCTCTGTTCCTCTTTTTATCATTTCTACACATTGTTCAAAGCCCAGCTCAAACCCTATATTCATGGAACTTTCTCTAATCCCCACAACTGAACTCTCTCTTCCTCTGAAAGCTTTAGGCACCTTATACTTTCCTCATTGCATTTGTCACAGTTTATCACACTTGTGTGTCTCATCTTTCTTACTAGATTTCCTACTTGAAGGAGGATCAGTGTCATCTTTATAATTGTCCCAGCACCTGACACAGTGCCCTTTACATAGTATGTGCTTAGTAAATGCTTATTGAATCGAAATGAACTGTTTTTCCTATAATCTACAATGAAAGCTAAAGACTTAATTTTAGCTGAACTTCCTTTTTCTTCCCTGATAGAGTGGCCCCATTTTCCACTATCTGGGAGTTACAATTCCTATCTGAAGAGGCCAAATGAGTATAATATCCAAAATATGAGTGATGCAAGGGAGAAAGGGTGGAAACAAGGACTGGAGCGACACATTAGAGGCTTCTGAAGAATGAAGGACTTGTTAATAAACAGTACATACATGCTCAAAGGAAGCAAGAGGGAAGCTTTAAGAATAAAAAATGGCTCTTGGTTCTAAACAACTTCCTGGAGTGCCAACCTATAGGGTTGGGGCCATCTATAATAATAAAAGCATAATATGCTAATTAGACTGGGTGTCCTTCCAGGCGACCTTCTGGACGAAGCTGGGGCTGCAAGGGAAGCCCAGGTCCCAGGTGCCTGCCGGCGGCCAGAGGGAAGCCTGGGTCCCGGGTGCCAGAGGGAAGCCGGTGCCGGCAGCCAGGGGAAGGGAGGCCTACTCTTGCATGAATTTTGTGCATCAGGTCTCTAGTCTCTATATAACAGAGAAACCAACATAACAGTGGCTTAAATTAGCTAGAAGTTTATTTCTCTTTTAGATTAAAAAAAAAAAAAAAGCCAGACCAGCAGAGCTGTTGGAGCAGGTTCTTGTGTGAGGGACGAGGTTCCCGCCAGCTTGCCCTCCTGCCATCCTTGTGTATCACGTCTTGACCCACAGAGATGCTAGGACTCCACCTATCTCATTGGTGTTCGGCCAGCAGGAAGGAGAAACGGAAAAACATGTATTCTCTCTTTGAAGGAGACTTCCCAGAGGTCACTCACATTATTTCTACTCATACCTCATAGGGAGAATCTATTCTGGTGGATACACGTAGCTATGAAGGGGAAGGGGAATGTAAGTTTTGAACTGGGATACTAAAGAAAAGGGGAGAATGGATACTGGGTGGCAATTAGCAGTGACTAATAGAGCCAAGATCAGGCCTTACACTGCTTCTTGTACTCCTTCAGGACAAAGAACAGCATTATGCACAAAAAGGATTCTCTTAAGAAAAGTTATCTGTAAAGGTAAGAGGAAAAAAAGAGCAAGCTTAGCTGGGAATAAGCATAGATTTGCTTAGGATAATGGACAGGGACCTTGACAAAAATGACACAGGCGATTAAGCCTCTGGTTCCCCTACTGCTTGTCATTATCAATGGCATTTTATTTTTTATAGACTGACTAGAGAAATCAGGAAGCCTTCACAAAACATGGTGTGATGTCTACTGGTGGAGGCAGGACATGAGGTGAGTGGAAATTGCAAAGAACTTGTTTCTAATAAGAACCCAGACAAACTGAGAGCTTAGTTTAAACCGGTGCACTTGTACTTAGTTTAAACCAGTACTTGTATTTTTTTCTTGAAGCGTACGCATTCTAAATGGCTTTGAAGAATTTTGTAACCCTTCTTTGTTTAAAAACAAATAAGTAAACATAGTATTGGATTCCATGATTGGTTAGCTAGCAGTCAGGACTAATAGACATCTTATAAACTAGCTATGTTACCTTAGAGTTTTATTGTACACTCAGAGTATTGAGACAATGAATGCTTACTCAGAGTATTGAGACAATAACGAACTATGTTTTAATTGAGTTTTATTTTGGATGTCTTTGTGGATTGCAAACAAATACAAACCCTGTAAAAACAACACAATTTACATTCAATTAATATTTACTGAGTCCCTACTTTATGCTAGGCTTTGTGACATAACAGCCATGTGGGATAGATAAGCATTATCCTCATTTTACAGTTGACGAAATGTAGGTTTTTAAAGGTTAAGTAAGGTTCCCAGGATCAAAAAAAAAAAATGAGTAACACAGTGGGGATTTGCAGCTAGGTGTCTCATGCACTTAAGAAAAAAGTTCCCATAGTTTAAAACGTTATTTTTTTAAGTTTCAAAACTAAAATGTATACATTGTAAAACAAACAAGCTTGATTAAGACAGAAGAGTATAAGTAAACTTTGAAAGCCCATCCCACCCCTGTCTCCATACCTCTTTCCAAGCATAAGCACTGTTAGTAGTTTGGCATAAATTCTTCCATATCTTTCCTTTTGTCCAATGTACTCTTTACAGTATCACACTTCCTATCTACTTAAAGATTTAATAAATAGAGGAGGTTGAATTTACTATATATTTAATAGTATAAACATTTATCTTTAAAATAATAACTGAATTATTCATTTAGCTAACATTAGGCATCTCACTATAGAGACTGGAAGAAGAACAGAACTCACTCTCTTTTTCTGAGGGATTCATAGGCTAGTGCAGTGTTCTTGAAGTTGAGAGAGTGCATATGGACTCCTCTGTGAGTATGATGCAAGCTCCAAACCTTCTCCCTAGAAGAAAATGAACCTACATAAAATTTTGCCTATAATTCAGGAACCCTGCGACAATATGGACCCCTGCTCTTGTACAAGATTGTTAAATTAATAATTTATCATAAATACTAAAATAGAAATGTGAACAAGATACTATAGCAGCACAGAAAAGCAAGGGTTTTACTGAGACATGTCAAAAAAGACAGGGAAGGGTGATACTTGCACAGAATCTTGAAGGACACAAGAAGTTTGACAGCTATCTGAGGGTAGGGGAAGGAGGTCCACTGAGGAACTACATTCATAAAGCCCAGAGGCTAGAAAGGACAGGGAACCACAGAACTTTCTTTGTGGCAGGAGCCTAGTGTGTATGAGAGTGACTGAAGACAAGTTTGCAGAACTGAATAGAGGCCAGATCATGAAGGCAGAGGTCTATTGTGTTAGGATGTTTGAACTTTAAGAGTCACTGAAGAATTCTGATCTAGATTTTCATAGGTAGGTAAGAAGTCTAAAATTAATGCAAGACTAAATGATAGTGGAATTGATACAATGGATGATAGAATAAGAAATAGAACAGAGGTAAGACCATTTAATTCAGATTTGTCGGAGGATCATTTAGGGGCAATAGCATTACTTTTTCCTGTTTGCTTTTTCTAGCTCATTAAAAATGTTAATTAATATGAATAAATAAAGTTCTGTGTTGCTTTCTTTTTTCTCCAAATGTACTGAAGCATAATTGACATATAAATTTTTAAGATATTTAAAGCGTGCAATGTGATGATTTGATATACATGTGAAAGGACCCTCCCCCATCAAGTTAACACATCCATCATCTCACATATTTACTTTTATTTTTGAGAGGTGAGAACATTTAAGTTCTACTTAAGAGAGAACTTTCAATTTCAATTATACAATGTAGTCTTATCAACTCTAGTCACCATGTTATATATTAGATCCTCAGACCTTAGTCATCTTACAACTAAAAGTGTGTACCCTTTACTATACAGCCTCTCCCTATTGTTTTCTTTAAAGAAATCATTAGCCATAAACAATCTTTGGAATTTGATTAAACTCAAACTTGTGTTAAGTGTCCACTACAAAACGTTCTCAAAGTTTTCATGCCTATAATTCCCAGGAGGGAGAGATACCAATAGTATGGTTGAGAATGTAGTAGGAAAGGGATGACTAATGATGACTTGGAGGATAGGAAAGGCTTCGTAGAGAAGGAGGTGCCTGAACTGAGCCTTGAAGGGTGAGAAATATTTCATTAGGCAGGGAAAGACATCTGAGGCGCAGAGGATGGGAGGAACAAATGTAGAGGCAAGTGTTGGATGAGATGCATGAACTGTGATCACCTACATGTCTATATGATATATGCTAACTATTATAGAGTTTTATTTGGAATACTATGAAACACGGGAACAAATTAAGTAGGTTCAGCTAGTCCAGCCATTAGCTGTAACAAAATCATATCAGCTAATTTAGAATTCCTAGGCCTCTGGGTAAACTACTTATCCAGGGAGAATGCTGTTGTTTTACTGGTAAGAGAACATTGCTGATCACTGTCAATGGTGCATAGGCCGTGGGCTATTCTTCTGACTGAGCTTATAGATTTGCAGGGTTTGTCTGTGATTCCCAACTCCTGGAGTCTTTGTTCACTGGGAGGTAGTGAGAAATTACAATAATTCTGAAGACTGGGTTTTACTCTCTTCTCCTTTTTAGCAGTTCTGAAAGTGCCAAAGGCAGATCCAAATTGGATTCATCTGAACTGTGAAAAAAATTCTCCCAGGAGAGACAGCAGTAACCTGGTTTCCCCTCTCACCTACAAAAGGCTTTGATGACTAATGATCTATTTCACAAGGTACTACTAACTCAGCTTCGTGATTCTGATTTTGTGAGTCTTGCAGTTGCCTGTGCTGCTGCAGCAGGAGGAACTCTTCCTGAGGACTAGTTAAGGTTTTACCATGTTGCTGTACCCTCTCTGCAAGTTGGGGTCACCCTAGGGGTGCAGGGAGCTTTTTCTGGAGCTCAGGGCTTTTCTCCTTCACAAGTCTCTCGGGAGCCTCTCCTGCCTTTCACTGTCTTCCCTCTTCCACTGAGCGCTGACCTAGTGAAAATAGAGTGACAGGCACGTTTTGGGGGAAATAGGTACTGACCTTGTATTGGGGCAACACTGTGCACGGAGTGTCTCGAGAGGCTCTTATCTTCCACTCAGATGAATCCAGGGAGAGAACCTATTTGAAAGGCTGAAATTAAAGCAAGTCAAACCAGCATAAGAAGAGAGTTTGAGCACATCTTCCTGACCAGACCTACCTATAGCTCACAAAGCATTCAGGCTCACAAATCAGGTTCTGACACATTTAGGTATGCACATCAATGCAACAAGTCGGAAGAGCCCCTGGAAGTAATATGGTCTGAAACTTTTGATACATTTTGATATTTAAAATGAAGAATTTTTAAATTTAAAACAATTAACTCTAGACATTGGGTTGTTTTTTTTTATGTGTAATAATGTCTTTTTTTTCTGATTGATGTTGACACATAACAACTCAACCAAATTACTCTATCCTACTGACATTATCTATAATAATAAAAGGGTAATATGCTAATTAGACCGGACATCCTTCCTGACAAAGCTGGGCCGAAGAGAAGCCGGCCTGGGTTCCGGGTGCCTGCCGGCAGCCTGAGGAGGGAAGCCCGGGTCCCGGGTGCCAGAGGGAAGCCGGTGCCAGCAGCTGGGGGAAGGAAGGCCTACTCTTGCACGAATTTTCGTGCATTGGGCCTCTAGTTAGGTAATAATAAAAAAAATTAACATGCCAGTGGAGTGGAGGTAGGGGGAGCTCTGTTATTCCATAGGTTGACATAAAGAACCTTGCTGGCTGCTGAGCTACGGAACTGCCACTCTCTGTGCTTTGCCCTCTTCTCACTGGCTCTGGGCACTCAGGTTGTTGCCAATGGTGGCACATCAGTTACAATTAGATTTGGTGTGGGACCATTCAATAGGAAATCCTGCTCTCTCTGGGTCTTCAAGCCTAGTGGTGGGCAGGGGGTATATTTCTGCCAGTGAAACTTTACTTGATACAATAAAATTGGATGGTGTTTTTCCCCCTAACAAAAATCATCTCCGGGCTATAAACTGTTTCTATATTTCCCACTCTTTTTCTTATGTGAAGCATGTGTGGTAAAAAATGTGTTTCTTTTGCTGTCTATCAAATGAGAATTCAATTACTTCCACTGGTAAGAGAACACTGCTGACCACTGTCAATGGTGCATAGGCCGTGGGCTATTCACCACAAAACTTGTTGAACCCATGCCCAGAATAGTATTAAGAGCTGGGGATACAAAAATGAATAAAAGACCCCTCTGCTCCCGAGTGGCTCACAGTCTGGTGAGGAAACTAGCATTTAGGCAGTTAACTAAGGATGGGATTCGATTGGGATGGTGGCCTTATGGCCTGGTTCAGTGGCAGGGGCCAACCATTTTCTAGCAATAATCATATTTGAGAAAAGGTCAAGGAAGAGGCTGACCTGAGGACCAAGGTCCATTTTCAAATTAAGAGTACTTATTGTTTACAGTGCTTGCCAACCTTTCAGACCTCACAGACCACCAGTGGTCCTTGGACCACCGATTGACGACCGCTGCTCCAAAGGTTTCCTTAAAACAGTGGTCACCAGCCTTTCGGACCTTGTGGACCACCGGCTGGCAACCGCTGGTAGGATGTCTCATGGCACAGACCTTATTTCATTCTTTAATTTATTGCCTTTGCCACTTTTAAATTGTGTATTCAAGGGTGATTTGATTGTACATTTATTTGGAAGTGGGTATAAAAAGTTACATTATCATTGAGGTGTCCTTATTTTAAACACTTACATACATGCCTATGTATTGTGAAATTTATCTCCTTATCATATTGCTTCTAAGTGTCACACTGTG